GCACTCACGCTTGGGCCGTGGGGCTTTTGTTAAGCTCTCATCATCATCCTCCTCATCACCATCATCATCCCTCGCCCGTAGCCGCCATCTGCTAGCTTGAACCTAAACCCACAGGCTTCCATCGCTCAGCCCGAGCTCCTGAGCACCCAGGGTGATGTTAAAAAGATCATGTTACACGGGCCTGTATGAATTTGATTCCCTGACAAATCGTGCGAATCAAAGGGGCTCCCGTTTCCGATTCTGTTCCAAGCCTTACGGCACTCCCGGCAAGTAGTCAGAACAGGGCTTTGAGTTTTGAACTGACTCTACCATAATTGTCTTAGGGAGTTTCATTTACCAATGTTCTACACTACTCAAGCAACACGTCTTCGCCCAAACAAATGCAGCTATCAAGCTGAAGCGGTGGTCTCCATAGCTTCTATCCGCGGAGAGACCAGGACGTCACTAAATAGAAACCGGCGTGCTCGATGAATGCCAGCATCCAGGATTATGAGGGGATACAGTAGAATCGAATGGAATGACATAGAATAGAATATAATAGAATACAGTATCCCTAAACCCTAAACCCCAAACCCCTCTAGTATAGTAGAATGGACCGGCGCGTGGGCTGCGCTTCTCGTGCTTCTGCCGGATTCGAGGCGATCGTCTCCAATGCGACGAGAGCCCGCTGCGGTGCAGGCGGCTTTAATATTATGGGTTTAGGATTTAAAGGTTTAAGGTTTCATAGGGTTTAGTTCAGTAGGGTTTAACAGGGTTTAGGGTTAGGATGTGGAGCCATGCAGCTGAACAGTCTCCCGACTGTCGCTAACCTCTAAATCCTCCGAATGAGCTGGACTTCTCTGCAGCACTGCGCTGGACCCGCCTCTCAAGGGTCTAGGGTTAAGGGTGTGGGGTTTAGGGTTTGTGGTTTAGGGTTTAGGGTTTAGGGTTCAGGCCACTTTATCGCCGACCGGTTCTGTGTTCCGTTCGCCCTGGAAGCCGCTTCAAGGGTCCTACTGACAATGGTCCTGCCGCATGCCCATACACCGTAACATCATGAAAGACAAGGATCATTAAGCCAAAAAGCCTAAACCCCTAACTCCAAAACCTAAACCGCATAGTATAAGCGTTTCAGGAAATAGAGAACCCTAACCCCAACACCCTTAACAGCTTGATCCTCCTCCTGAGGGCCGCCGGAAGGAACACCGTGTCTTACAGACCTATAGTACCTGGACTTTGGGTTCGGAGTTTAGTTTGGGTTCCTGGATTTTGGGTTCGGGGCTTAGTTTAGGTTCCTGGATTTGGGGTTCGGGGTTTAGTTTAGGTTCCATAAACCCTGTGAAACACCCCTTGTAAAGCCCCATATAAACCCCAACCGAAAACCATGTACAACTCTTACAAAGCCGGATATATCCTTGATTCATAACTCAACCCCAAACCCTTTTCCCTAAACCCCTAAACCCCGCAACCCCTAAACCCCAAACCCTCCCACTTTGCTCCTGGAATTCCCCAACTCCTTCCAAGCGAATGTCCAGGCTGAACGCATCCTCAGCACATGGCGGAGCACAAAAGGCCTAAGCGTCAGGCTCCGGGGCGGGGTTTTCGTGATTTTGGGCCTAGGTCTTAGGGTTTAGGGCTTAGGGTTCAGGCAAGGTTCATTAATGTGTAGAGTTCGGGTAAGTTTCAGGCCTGGGGCAGACGTTTATAAGACTTTAATCTGGTAGTTACAGGTATCTAGTTGGAGCTTCAATCGTATTTTGGGGAAATCTAACCACGGGCGCTTACAGTTTTAGCTCCTACACCAAAGCCTACGGATTTTTTGCGTCCAAACCCAAATAAACCCTACCCCTGCATGAAATTCTTCTAACATGCCGTACCGAAGCCATCCAAAACCCTTGTAGGAAACTAACCCCTAAGCCCTAAACGTCCGACACCCTGCACCCCAAACCCGAAACCAAACCCTCTAAACCCTTGACTCCCTGAGCCCTAGGTATGAAGCCGGTTTGTGGCTCCTTTTCCGTCTTTCGGGCTTTGGGAGCCAAAGCTCCGTTGAAGCCAAGAGATCCGGAACGAGAAGCGCAATCTTCAGTCCTCACCATGGCTGGACACTCAGGGTTCGGGTTACTACAAGGGTTGCCCCTAAGGGTTCCTATAGTAATGGCCTACTATATCATGGACTCCTTTTTGTGTCTTTAGGATTCAGGGCTTCAGGGATTTGGAGGCCTGCAAAGCGTTGCCTTGAGGTTTCCTATAAGGGATCTATAAGGGTACTGTAAGGGTACTGTAAGGGTACTATAAGGGTACTATAAGGGTACTATAAGGGTACTATAAGGGATCTATAAGGGTACTATAAGGGATCTATAAGGGTACTGTAAGGGTTTTAGGCGGTTGTGGAAAGTAGGGGGGTTGAAAGGTGTTTGCAGGGTTGAAAGGGTGTGGTGAAAGGGTGTCGCACGAGTCTTGTAGGTGCTTGTAGGGTTGTTGGGCGGTTTTAGACTGAAGGTCTTGAAACTTGATTTAAGATACCAGGCAGGCGTTTTCGCTCGGCAGGCAGCGAAACGGAAAAATAAACTCGGAGAGTTCAAGAGGAACAAGAGGAGGTTGATTTCATCAACCTTGATTTCTTCTAACTTCTAAAATAGTTGCAGCCTCGAGTGGACAGCTTATGCCTTGGCATCCTCCTTGGCCATGTGCTTGACCAAATCGACGACGCGGCAGCTGTAGCCCCACTCCTGAGCTGCTCTTGGAGACAGTTTGCAAAGGCTATCTTGTGTTCAGTCTTAAGTCTTAACCATATAGCATAAGAAATTCAAAACGGC